CCTTCTCTCAGACTACCAACCAAGGTGACTCACCGTCTCGGTTTGTTGGGGACTGTCCTAGTTTTAGCATGGAAACTCCAACACAGTGGGGAAACACCTCAGTAGTGGAAAAACCAGGAGGGTTGGTCATTCTCCTACCAACACATTCATTATGTGGATTCTACAGAGCTTTTTTTTGATAAATTTCTTTTTGAGAAGAAGGAAGAATATTTTTGAGGGTAGAGTATTTAATAAAACTATGGAAATAATTAGGACACTTTAAAACCTTAGCATTTTTAAGGGGAAAGAGACATATCAAGAAAACAGGGAGAGGCCGGCCCCGTGGTCGAGTGGTTAAGTTCGTGCCCTCCACTTCGGCAGCCCAGGGTTCGGATCCTGGGTGTGGACATGGCACTGCTCATTAGGTCATGTTGAGGCGGCATCCCACATGCCACAACTAGTGGGACCCACACTAAAATATACAACTATGTACTGGGGGGATTTGGGGAGAAAAAAAAGCAGAAAAAAAGAAAACAGGGAAAACATTGCAACAGGTTCTTTTGTAGAATTCTTGCAATTAAGATAGAGGGGGCTTTATTGCATGTAATTAATTAAAGAACATCAAAATATTTTTCACTTTTATCTCTGCTATGTAGATAAATTGAGTGACTTTTTTAATGTAAGAAGGAATTAAACAAAAATCTCAAATTTGAAAATAGTATAATCAACTAAACTAAAAACTACTCGAGGATAATTGTTTTTACAAGTGAGAAAACAAAGACATATTCAAGACTACATGGAAAGTCACTGACAGAGCATCTGGCTCCTCCATCTTTTTCTGGTAGGTAATTTGGCTTATTTCCTACTATACATCCTTTTATTCCCAGAAACATTTAACACAGTCCTTTCCTTTCAGATAAGAGTAAATTTTAGTAGATTGATAGAAAAAAGTGAAACTATTTTACTAACAGAAATAATTTTTAACAGTTTATAATTGGAACATTAAAAATTATTCATCATGAATGCCCATTTGAGTTTTATTCTGATAGCATGGTGCAGTCCTGCAGCCTAAGGATTAATTTGTCCCACAGTTATTTTCCATTCAGGTTACATAATCACTGAGCAGCCAGTCTGATCACTACATGGTTGATTCATTTCATTCATCGATTGCCAGAATTGCCAGATGTGGCCCAGCAATCTGACTGTCTTCATAACCAAATCAAATCTACTGAATTGGCACCAATTCAGCCAAAGCTTTGGTGATCAGCTGCCCACGATATTGATGGTACCACCTAGATAAGATGTTAAACTGTACTTTTAGAAATGTCTGGTTTCCTTGAAATCGTGATAAGTTTTGCTCCCACTCTAAAAGTTATATGCTGCTATAGGAGAAAGCATCAATAAGTAAAACTTCTGATATACTAGATTTTCCCTTAACAAAACATTTAGCTGAAGTTGTAAAACTCAGAGAAACATGTTGTAGCATGGGACGTTGCAGATCAACTCGTCCATCCTTCCCAAAATATGTTAATAAATAGCACCTGAAAAAAAAAAGTGGGGAGGGGTCTGTAGGCAAAGAAGTTTGTAATATGTCAAGTAAAACAAAACCAAATTGGTGCCTTGAATGGAGCAGGGTAGGGCATGGGGCCAGGAGGCATGTTGCAAAATTGTCTAACCATAGAACTCGGTATCCTGAACATCTGGAGGGTCTTCATCCAGCCTCTGAATTTTGTAGTTAAATAAACTGTGTCCTAAAAAGATTAAGAAACTGATCCAGAGTTAAATGCTCTCTTTAATTTTTTTTCCAGTCCTCCTTTTTCTCCCCACTTTCATATTGCTTTCCCTAATTGCCTGTAAGGACTTTCCTCTTCGCTCCTCAGTGCTGGCAAGTTGCTTCTAGTTGCCCAGCTTTCCAGTGATGTCATGCCTAAAAACGGAAGTGAAAACTATTCACTTAGATGTCCTTTTAGAGTATTTAAGGTTTCAGTATCTTCTCATGTTCTGATTTTAATTTCTTTTATTTATTGGGCACCTACAGTGTGCCAGATTCTTTATATGTATTATATGATTTAATCCTCATAACAACCTGCAAAATAGATAACATGTCCATTATGTCCATTCATTGGGATGAATATTAGCTCCCCGAAGATCATACCTACAATAAGTGGAAGAGTTGGGATATAAAACAATATCAATCTGACTACACCCTTCCATCTTATCAAGTTCAAAGATAGGATCACAGCTACATTAGAAGCATTGTTGACAACAGTTAATTTTTTTAGAAAGTTATTGGCCCGTAATTGATATGGCATAGTATAGAGAAAATGGCATAATTTCAGGTAGACAAATTTGTAACAAATGTACTCAGGGAATAAAAATATATTGAAGTAATGTATTAAAAGGGTAAGCAGCAAGCTGACTTAAATTTGTTTTGGGCATAAGGTGAGGAATACATCATGTATACATTAGTACGTACTTATATACATGTATTCTTAAGCCAAAAATAGATACCTTTCTGGGTAGTAGTGGGGTGAGTACATAATTGGAAGGTGATCTGGGCATGTAATTGTGAGAATTTCTTATGTGGATAGTTTTTTGCTGGATAATGGTGCTTTTTATATGAATGTTGGGTACATGTTGAATGAATGCCTAGATGGAGTTTCACAGTTAATACTCAGTGATAGAAGTTACTCAGCAGTCTTCCAAGTGAGTGATCATTGTCTAGAGTTATCTTAAAGTCAGTTGATTTTCTGCAGTCTCTTTTCTTATTTAATAAACTTACATAGCTTGTTAAAAAATATGTACTTATTTGGGCCAATCCTCTTACTATTCTGTTTTTAAATCCTTTTCTTGATAGCTGTTCCTTTCTTTTTTCGCTTTCTCCCTCCATCCCTCCCTCCCCTTCTCCCACCTTCTCTCCCCTCCCTCCTTTCTTTCTTTTCTCCCTTTTTCCCATCCTTCCTTCCTTCCTTCCCCTTCCTATGCATTGAGAAATTGATGTGGCATCTGCCTCAAAGTGATTATTGGTACAAACTTCTGGAGCCAAGATAATACTGAGGTGCTATAAAGATAAACTTATGGAAGAGTTCAACTCACTTTTGCCTGATGCTCCCTAGAAAATAACAGATAATTAAAATGATTTTAGGAATATCCTACCTGAAAGTAGTTCTTAGGCAGTTAGTAGTTGATTTGGGGTAACACCTAAAATTCTCTGGTTAAACCAACTAGACTAGAATGAAATAAATAATAAGCACATATAACTACAAGGTCAAATATATAAGACTGGGAACTTCTGGTTCTGACAGCCTGAACACATGTGTTTATGTTTTCTTATTCCAAAAATCTCCCTAAAATTGTAGCAAAGAAGAAAAACACTATAAAGAGATAGTGAGAGAGGACAAATAGAGGAGGAGATGCTACTAAACAGGAGATGCCAGCAAACTTTTGGAAGATGGCACAGTGATGGAGCGGGGAGGAGCTGAGGTGTACTGAGAGAAACCTGCAGATTCATTCTTCGGGACCCTGGGGAGGCTTCAGAGGGGTGTGAGGGTGGGTCTGGAAAGAGGGTGATTGATTGAAGGTAGTTAGAGAGTAGTTAGCAGTAGTTAATGGAACGCAGTATATAGAGTAGTTAGACCTTGTTCCTCTGCCTCCCTCACACTGCCACTACCAATTCTCCATCCCCACTGGAGGCTTGAGGGATAGTCTTGTGTGAAATTGAATCAGAGATGCTCTGGACTCACAGAAACTAGATCCAGGGGAGAGAGGTGAAACTCCACAGAGTGAACATGGAAGACCCTTCTGGACTCCTCCACAACATAGCTCTCCGAGCATCGATAACCAGGGACAGGCTCTTTAGACAGGAGTTTGAAGGATTCTGATCTAAAGAAACTGAATAGCCAAAGAAATGACCTGACTGGCATTTGGAGTAGCCCTGGAGATGGCTAGATTCCCCACCCAGTTACCTCACAGGGATGCCAGCCAGTTAATAAGCACACCCTGCCCCTGCTCAGGGCTTCCAGTCTGTCTTGTAGGGACACTGTCCATCAATATAAATGAATTTTATATTTTATTTATATATTTTTTAAGATATTCATATGCATTTAAGATATTCATATATATATAAAGAAATATATAATATATATATAAATGTCTTAAATATAAATGAATACTGAGAGGGTCACCAGATGTTTGAGTATAGCCTCCAACATAAAATATAGAATCATGTAGAGAGATCAAAACAGAGAGAGAAAGGGGTTACAGAGACTGAGAGAAAAGATAGATGACTGAAGAAGCAAAAGCAAAGCTTTTAAAAACCTATAATATCTTCAGAAAGATAGATGATCTATCCATGAGCTAAAAAGAGCATTCTTTTTATAAAAAAGGAACAGTCAGGAAATAGAGATCTTGGAAATTAAACTTATTGTAAAAAAAAAATTATTCAGAGATAGAGAAGATAAAGTCAAGTAAACTTTCTAGGAGGTAGATTAACAGGCAAAATGGACAGTGGGGGTGGGGAGGAAAGAAGGGAAGAAATGTAGTGGGTCAGTCCAGGAGGTTCAGCATTTTACCAAAGGAGTTCCAGAAAGAGAAAACAGAAAAAGTGGTGGGGAGACAAGTATCAAAGAATAACACAAGAAAAAAATTTCAAAACAAAACAATAGGAATTTCCAGATTTAAAAGGAAAAGAAAGTGCCAGAACAACGGATAGGCAAAGATCCATTAAGGGTCTTTACTATGAGATTTCAGAACACCAGGGATTAAAAAAAAAAGATTCCAAAATCTTCCAGAGAAATAAAGCAGGTCATTTATAAAAGATCAGGAATACTGATGGCATCAGACTCCACTGCAACACCGGAGCTGGAAGATAAGGAAGTACCACCTTCAAAATTCTGAGGGGAATGACTTTTTACTTAGAATTCAGTTACAAGCTTAATAGCAAGCGTGAGAGTAAGACTAAAACGTTTTCAGACACACAAGGAAGGTCTCAACAAATTTACCTCCCGTGTACCTTTTCTCAGGAAGCTACTAGAGAATGTGCTCTACAAAAATGAGGATGTAAACCAAGAAAGAGGAAACCATGGGATCCAGGAAACGGGGGACCCAGCACAGGCGAGAGGCACAGGGATTTCGCAAGATGGTGTTAAAAAGAAGCCCCAGGACAACAGGTGGGCAGCTGGCCTGGGAAACTGCTAGACCCCACGGACTGAATGGGAGGCTCCTGGAGGGAAAAAGAGATGTGACAGATTAATGATTGGGTTGATCACATAAAAAATGGTTTAAATAGGGTTTTTTTAGATCCCTTGGATAGTTGAGGATCAGTTAGTAATAGATACACAGAAAAGGGAAGAAAAAAAATCAGGAAAAACAAAATATTGAACAAGATAGGAAGTATATTCTTATACGAATGGCTCAAGAGTGAACAATGTTACATGATCATAATAGTGCAAACATAGAATATCAATCTAACCCCAAATTGCTACTTAACCTACTGGAGAGATGGGGGAAGAAAGCTTATTGGAAGGTGGTGATGGGTAGGAGTGCTACATTTTTCTCATTTTGCATAGTAGTAAAATAGATAATCCCTAAAAATGGTAACTTAAAAAATATCATTGTGCATACATTACTTAAGTATATGGAATCAAATATCAGAATTAAAAGTTGAAAGTGCTTTCCTCTCCCATGCTAGGATACAGCCTCCTTGGGAGGGTGGTTAGGGTTGCTAGTTAGTCTTCCTGCCCTGGGCAAGCCCCTAGATTAACCAAACTGAGAACAATTGTCTGGGGCCAAAGTCGTTCCTGTGTAGGAGGTTACTCACTCTGGCAAATAAATATCTTTCCTAATAGGAGCAACCAAAAAAAAAAACGTGTTTTCCTCTGAGGAGCAGGAAGGAGTGGGCCGGAAGAGGTCGGTAGGGGATTGCTGTTTTGGGTTATAGGCCTTATGATGTTATTTGCCTTTTAACCTGTAGGCATACATTACTTTGATAAGTATTAAGTTGGTTTAAAAAATCACTGGAATTAGAAACAGAGGTTATAAAACCAAAATGTGCAATGCCCGCCCCTGCAAAAAAAGCAAAAAGAAAAACAGAAGAAGAGGTTGATGGTGCTTTCCTTGATACCTTTCAGAACTCATTTATTTATCTCATGTCTAATAACAAACTAGGGGCCTCAGGGCCCTGTGCCACTCTCACTCCAACCAACATTTCTGTCATCACCCCCGCTCCCCACGTTTACGCTCTTCTGGGCCACTTCATGTTCCCTTTTCAACACCTGTGTTTTCCTCACCTGGGCCTTTGCTTCTGTTTAAGGTATTGGTCACCTTCACACAGATTCACACAAACGCACGAACACAAAGACCCCTTGTTCCACCTCCATCCCTACCGGTTCAGATGCCTCTCTGAGGGGTCTGTGAGGGGCTCTGGACCACAGCATTCTCTCCCCTTTCTTTTAATTCCTATTGTATTGCCCCTGGGACCACGTACCAACACTGCCTTGAATCACAGTTGTTGGTTTTACTTGTCCTGTCTTTGTTACGAGCCTAGGTGACAAGGGCAGTAACCATATTGCACTGATGTTTGTTCCTCCTATGGAGCCTGGCAGAGAGCTGACATATTCCAGGTACTGCCTCCAATAGTAAGTAGATGAATAAATCTTTCATTAAATGTGAAATCTGTTCAGTCAGATGGCCCAGTGCTAAACATCTGCACCCACATAAATAAATATTACTGGAAGGTAAGGATTTCTCATTTGTTTTTGTTTTAAGGAAGCTTGTGTGCTTTCTCCTAATGGGGAAGATCATATGCAGAGCCTAGGGGTAAACTATTCTCTAAAATCTTTGCTTTTGCTTCCTTTGTGAGGAATGTGGAAAACTTAGCAGCTAGAGGGTTGAAGTTTTTATTTGACTCTGCAGGGGTTACAAACAGCCTGACACTGAGGAAAGTGTTGCAAGCAGGATGTCACCTGGGCCTCCAGGTAGAGAAGCCCCTGGATGTCACTGTGCATCTAGTGGACAATAGCACAGCCTAAGATGTGACAGGAAAAGGGGAAACCTCTCATGAGGGCAGACATTAACATAAAAGAAGAATTTTATAAATACTCAATGATATAACACGGTCACCTAGGTAGAATGGTGCTAGCTAGGGCTTACATTCACAGCTTCTCACACCTAATTTAAGTCCCTTTCTACTTAGTCAGGCTTTATACTACACTCCCCAAATCTCTTTGTAACCATATAACAAATTCTAACAGTCTGAAACATTCAGTTTATGGAAATAACAAAATGCCCATCAGTATTATGGTCTATGCAAACCGTGGAGTACTATGGAGCCCGTAACAAGGCAGGTCTATAAGTTCTGCTCTGGTGAGGCTTTAACTTATATGGCTAAAGGAAAAAGTGAGTGTGGAATAGGGTGACCTCCCTCACATCTTTACTCAAATGCATCTTTTGAACGAAGCCTTCCTTAACCACTGTATTTGTAAGTGCAAACATCACCCTGGGCCCAGCTTTTTCTCTATTAACGTTGATCGCTATTTGACATAATATGTATTTACTCATTTGTTTATGATCTCTCTCCCCTATTGGAATGTAAGCTGCATAAGGGATTTTGTGTGTTTTACTTACTGCTTTCCCTCCCCCGCCCGGTGCCTTCGTATGACTGAATTTGTATGAAAATGCTTATTATTTGCCCAGAACAGTTCTGGAAGCCTACACAGACCTAACAGTATTTATCTCTGAGCAGTAGGACTAGGGGCATGTGGGAGGAAGACCTTTACTGTATGTATCTTACCATGTACCTGTATCACTTTGTAAAATGAAAACACTAGTTTAATAGGAAATCCCATTTAAAATGTTTCTCAAATGGCTATAATAAAATATAAGTTATTTAGTCAGCACCATTTATTTCCAGTCCTGACATAATGAACACCATTCAGAATTTCTCTTCTTTCCAGAAGTCAAGTTGTAAATGGGCCATGATTCAAGCCCATGGACTTTATATTTTATGAAGCCTTTACCAACAGACTTTTTATTTCCCATCACAGTGGTACCATCTGTACTTATGCTGTTGTGGGGGAAAAAAATGTGTTCTTAGGTAAGATACATTTATATCTTCTAAGTTTTAGCTAAGTGACCCGAGGCAGGTCACTTCACCGCCCTGAGTCTCAGTTCCCCTACCTATAAAATTGGCATAATTTTCCCTGTGAGCAAAGGGTGTTGTCCAAGCAAAACAAGATGAAGTTTGTGTATTCAGTGCCCAGCAGTGTGCGGTTTAAGGCCGAGTTCAGTAAATGTTAAGTCTTTCCCTTTCCCTGTGGAAAGTGACCCAGAAGAACACTCTTAGTGATATTCTTATCCCTAAGTACTCAAAGTGTGACATCACCCAGGGGTTTATCAGAAATGCAAACCTGATCTAATGAATCAGAATCGGTAGTTTAACAAAATACCCAGGTGATTCCTTTGCACAGTAAAGTTTGAGAAGCTCTGTTTTTATGCTTCTCGCAGCAGTGTTGCAGACAGGCTTGTGTTAATCAGGTTTTTTATTTTCTGTATTTTGTTAAACTTTGACGTCTTAGGGCATTGGGGACCCCAGGGGAGGCACTGGCCTTCCCAGAGTTAGCTAATTCCTAGACATGACAATTTGCCTGGGAGCAAACCTTTGATATGCAAATCAACCAATCCTGAGTCCTTGCCCCCTCCCCGCCCCCACCCCCACCCCTGGACCCCAGAACCCACTAAAATTATTCAAACTATCCAAGCCTTAACCTTCTTACCCTGCCTTGCTTTGCATTTCCTGTGGAAACCACAATGAAGGCTTTTGCCCACGTTTTCCCCTTATTCCCTCTGCTCCTGTCCCACCTTGGTGTCTCCCCATGTGGCCCTGCATGGCCCTCCATGGCATTGCATGCCCACCTCCTCTCAGAAGCTGTAACAAACTATCCTTTCAGTGGCAAGCCTCTCCAATCTGCTGGCCTCACCATACCTGAATAAAACCAAAATCCCAGGTACATTTTAAAACAAGGCTGCCTTTGAAGCTTTTTTCCTGGTTAAATGCCCCCTCTACCCCTCCTCCTTCTCCTTGCTAACTTTAGTTTTATTTGGAGAAGTGTGAGGGTGCCCAGCAAAGCCAGATGTTCTGGTGTGGCATGACTAACAGGCCGAAACACAGGAGGAAGCTTAAGCCGCCTCATCAGCCTGAACTTACTTTTAAATAAAGATGATCAAGGATAACCATGAACAAGGTTGTAAATCTGCTTAATGTAGTATGACTACGTTGAATGCCAATAAAGGTCCTTAAGCACAAGCTTTGAACACTTCAGAAACTGCTATTGCAAATGATTAAGACCTCCAAGATAATGGAACCGTTTGAATTGAAACACACAAACTTATTTACGGTATTCTGAGATGTCAAGGAAACAAATGAAAACCTGCCAGCCACGTCCGTTCATTTTTCCCTGTGGCTTCTTAATATGGTATATATGTTTTAAGTGGAAATAACTCCTGCCAGGGAGCAGCTGTTATGCTACCAAGCAGCTTCCCGGCCCACGTTTGCATTTACCTCATCTCTTCTGTTTTGAAGACACTCTTTATATATGGAAGTGAGCTAACCGAAGCTGGGGATAATAAAAGCAAACATTGAAAGAACATAAAAGGGACTTTTCTCCCTGTGATTCAAAGAAAAAAAAATATGATAAGGAGTATCTACTTCAGAAATGCTCCACCTTTGTTAGATAAGAGAACAGAAGACAGCAACGGTATAGTAACTTTTCCCTTCTAAAAGTTTTTTACTACACTTTTGTAAAGAAATTAGAATTTGATTAGCAGCCTTTAATTAGAAATATTAGACAAAGAGATTTTCCATTGTTTTGTTTCCATAAAAAATCAGTTTTTTTAATCAGTTTTGTTTCCATAAAAAATAAACCCTTCTCACCACACACACACACACACACACACACACACACACACACACACAAAGATAACTGTGTGGTGATAAGGGTTTATTTTTTTAACTAATTTTAACTAATTTTAGTTAATTAAACTAATTTTAATGTGGTAATCATTTCACAATATGTATATCAAATCATCATGTGTACACGTTAAATTTATACAATTTTGTCTGTCAATTATACCTCAGTAAAGCTGGGGAGAAAATAGACCTATTTGTTATGAC